GCTACAAAAAAACAACAACTCCGACCCAATAAAAGACACACAAAAAAACAAACACCCCTTCCCCCAAAAACAAACAAACAAACAAACTACGAAAGAACATCAACAAACAAAACAACAACAATTCAAACCCAATAAAAGACACAAAAACAAAAAAAAACAGCCCCCCAAAAAACAAAACAAAACAAAACAAAACAACAACAACAACAACAACAAAACCGCAGCGACAACAAAAGATAGAAAATAGGAATGAAAAATGTCATGTAGACTTTCCAATGAATAGGGAAGTTATTATGTTCCCTGTATTTTTTTACAAGTGGCCGAAAACAGCGGGCCTTAAAAAGCTTTGTTGAATCAACCAGAATACGTGTTCTTAATCTCAATACGTTCACATCATTGTGTGTCCAGTGGACACTCATGTATACAGGGAAGGGCGGGCTGCAGAGTAACGGCCGACCTGTAGTTGGGGGCGGGGCCAAACACCAGATAAACAGTCAAAGGCACCTGGTTCGTCTTGAAGTATCTTATACAGGTGTGGAAGGGGTAGTGGGTGGTGGGTGTGATAGAGGGGTGGGGTAGATGGTGGGGTAGAGGGTAGGATAGGGGTGGGGTAGGGGGTGGGGCAAGACACCAGATAAACAGCCAAAGGTACCTGGTTCGTGTAGAAGTATATACAGGTGGGGGCGAGGTAGGGTAGGGAGTGGGGTAGGGGTGGGTCGAGTGAGGTGATGAGTGGGGGTCAGAGAGGGGAGGAGAGGGTCGGAAAAGGGAGCAAAGATACTACACCCTACAGTGGAGAGGGGCTGGTGAATAGATCAACTGAAAAGAAGAGGGAGTTTCAGCGATTCTCATAGTATAATGATACGTGATAATGTGTATATTCCTTACCATAATTGTCGTTATTAACATCATTATTAATCATTGCCAGAGTTGGTTTCATTGGCAATATTAGAGGACAACTAAAGTCTTGGTGGATGCGGAAAAAAAACTTAAGCGACCAAACTTGATTTTTCCTTTTCGCCATGTACATTCGACTAACGGATCTATTTTGACGTATTCTGGGTCTGTGATTATGTACGGGACATTTTCTGTGTACACCCTGTCTGGTTGTCTCTGGCTTGTGTTTGTTTTAGCAAGGTTTTACGGCGCTCGCAACTGCATAAGGTCATATGGGCGCCCAGTGGAGGATGTCAACAGAGAAGTCCAAACGGGGAATCAGTCTCCGACTTTGCGTCCATTCTTTATCTGCATCTTTTTCTCCATTCAATTCATTTCACTTGATCAAACTTTGTTGGTTGTTGATGTTCAATGAATTAAACACGTACAGGATCAATAACGCAGAAGATTGAAGTTCAAAACTCAGAATACGTCCAACTATCGTTCTTGTCTTTCCTGGAATATTTCCTCTCAGTCTCAGGTCTGGGCAGGGAACTATCTCTCCTCCCTCTGAGTGACATGTATGATAATGATGTATAGCGAGTTACAATTTCGCTGCGTCATCAGCACCACCACAAACACAACAGCAGCAGCAAAAGCACCACCATCACCACCAACAATAACAACAATAGCAACAGCAGCAGCAGCAGCAGCAGCAGCAGCAGCAGCAGCAGCAGCAGCAATGGAAAACCACAACAGCAACACCAGCAACAAATGCGTCAACAACAGCAGCAAGATCACCAGTAATAAAAAAACCCAAAAAACCAACAATAATGTGATGAAAAATAATATATTATCACTATGTCTCCTTTTCTCCATGCGAACATGGGAGAGAAGACGGTGAGGGGGGGGGGGGGGTTCTCTCAAGTAATTTATATTAAACTTTAAAAACTTAGTTTGGCAAATATAGCTCAGACCCATTGACGCTTTTTAAAAGACTGGAGGCACAGCTGTTTATAATGAGTGCAGTGTAATTGAGACAAGTTCATACTTCGTAAAAAGCGTCTGCAATCAGCAATACTGATAAGAATGCACATACTATGTGAAAGCTAACAAAACCAGCTGTTATTCAGAAAAGGAAAAAAAACGAAACAAGTAGTCTATTCATGTGTACACACATCATTAATGAGGTTTAGTGAGGAGTAAAGAAATAGGTTGGAAAACACGTATATTAGTCTAAATGCGAGTACCGAGAAAGAGAGAAAGAGAGAGAGAGGGAGAAAGAC